TGGCGTGTTAGCTCCGTTCATCAAAACACCTTGCTGCTGTCACAACCCTCCACAGTCAGCAGTACGACTTCTCACTCAGACCTTGAGTTGTTGCCTTTAGTCTCCAATCGACCACCATGGCATGATAGAACCTATCAGAACATACGTTCTAGCCAATATAGCTCGGTTGGGTCATCATGATAGGCGAGCCCGACCATCACGTCAAGGTAACAGCTACGGTCGGATAACCAATTTGAAAACCATTATCAGTTCATACAAATAGCATACTACTAAATGTGATTTCTAGAAGACTAAATTTTAGTATTGTGTATAATTAAAAATGATTATGTTTCACCTGAACAACTTTAGTGACCCTTCACTTTGACATCAATTAGACCGCACAATGTTGTCGACGGGCTCATCGCTTCAGTGGCCCGGGATTTGATTCCAATTAGATCGTATGAATGTTCGTTATTGAATGATTGCTGTCGAAACCGACTTAGATCGTGCTAGTGAATAACGGAATGAAATAAATCAAATACGAGAATGAATCTCTAATACGCATATTTTGTACAACCGTTGATCGGAACAGACAATCACAGAGATGTAGTGAAGGAAGGAACGAGGAGAAAGCAAAGCGAAACAAAATGACGCACAGTGGACAGTCAACTTGATTTGACCAAGATTTAATCGATATTTATAATTAGATAGAAAATAACTTACAGACATGTGATGAGTAAGATGAGAAGTGCACACACATAGGCTCATATAAAAACAGACAAGGTTGATAAGCGAACAATTAACAAGGTCAAAATGTAGCTTGAGGAGAATGGACAGGTTGCTATGTCCAGAAGCTAAAATAAACTATGTGGGCTAGACATAGGATCAGCAACTACAGATCAATGGGGCGGCTGTGTTTAATTGTATCAGTGATATTCAGTGTACAAATCAATAAAGGTTCTGTGTATGTTTGAATGTCATTCCCGCAATAGTTCCCTGTCATGTTATACTCCAACCACACGGCATTAAAGCACAAAACCAGCCTCTAAACAATTTCGTTTTTGCTTCTTCTCACTAAAATGTTTGGCATTTGTGTCAGGAGCTACCCATTTACTAATATCTTCATGTCTTCAAAGTCTGTGACTAGCGTAGAACTGACTAGACCTTTGAAAGACAGAAAGGTCTGTTATGTTCTGTACACCTACAAATATCACGTGACTAAATCGCCAATATAATACCGACTTATTTGATCCTGGCTCTGTGCCAAATCAGTGACGTGTTAACCAGTACGAACAGCCTAAAGTCGGCTCTGAGTCTCTATTGATTACTCCTGCCTTTCACTGCTCATTGAGTCCAGGACACAATCTCAGCTTCCACTGTATGAGTCATATATTTCAGACATACATGGTGAATATACAAGTAAGCCAGACCGTATCACATCAGAGAATAAGAGATAAGAAATGTACTAGATCAATCTGAATGTGTCTGTGAGTGTGAGAGACTGTCAGTAATAGGTTGGGAATGACCTCAGAATGAAAAAACGTATAATGGTAGCCACTTGGTCAAACGAAAGCTTATAATGAAAGCAATATGAATATACGTATAACATAGTTAGTTGATAATTATCCAATAAGAATATACGTGATAATAGACTATAAATAGCTCCTAGCAGTTACCATTCATTTATTCTTTGTTCAGATATAACGAATTCTCTTGCTGTAACATTGGAACAGATATGTCTATGATCAGTGAACATATATTCGATTTACAAGCACGTTCCAAGGAAATTGAGGCCGCAAAGTACAAGGGCTCTTAACAATACAAAGCTCGGCATTTACTTGACACCGGGCACACAAATGACATTCCTCAAGCTTTCAAAACTATTAGCAGACAAAGAAAAACTGCTTCTCTTCGAGTTGCTGAAGGAAGTGCTTTAAAAAACTTAAAGCTGATTTATCTTTTGGTCATTGGTTTTATTTTGTTAATGCTTAGTTTGTTATGTTGCTCTTCCCTTATTTTATATACATTTAGACCACCACTTAACTCATGCATTTACACCCACTCAATTGTCTTGAATTATGTAAACTCTTCAAATCTTGTTCAGTTATTATTCAACTTACCTTACCAGTTTTTTTCGATTCCAGGAATCTTGTGCAAACCCTTCATTACCTCTAAAATTATCACGTAATTGATCTTATCTGTCTCCGAACTTTACTCAGTTATTACATCACCCACCCCTCATGTTTTTTATTCTAACACCAAATGACCTCCGACATATATATAATTATTATTGATAACCTTTGTCATTACAATTCTTTTCATTCACTTATGTCAATTGTTTCACACTATATCTTATCTCAATTAAAATTTTAACACATACTTGGTTGTAAGTAACTGATAAGAAACCACGAAATACAATGAGTTCATATTATTCTGCATCCATGTTTTTTCTTGCTTTATTTAAATTTTTTTAGTTCAGATATAAATGATTCATTCTCATTGACTAGAAATTCATAAATTATAAGTGAAACACTGTTAGCTTCGAGTTGCAAATTATAACATCCACTAATAAAAATATCGTACACACAGTAATACTTTAAATGAAAACTTCGATGTTTATAATTACGGTACTGGAATCATGAGACTTTATAGTTATTTCTGAAACGATGGATTCGATACTATTAGTTTCTACAATTAAATTTTGAAATAAATAACCTCATTTCTTGAATTTGTTAGTGAATTCTCGACGTTGTTATCAAATACAGAATCTTTTCTTTATCAATATCGGCAGTATTGTCCCGATCTGGATTAAGAGGTTTGCTATAACATTCAAAGAAATGGGTGTTAGCGCAACCTGCAATCTCAATATGACCAATCTTATTTTACTTGAAATATTTGGTAATGTGAAGTGTCATGATTTCCTTAAGTTTAATTTATTACAAAACAAACACATATGAAGCTTGCACTCATCTTTGTATACTGGTCTTAATTTCGTTGTTATTTGTTGCAGGTACTTCCATGTGAATTAGAACCACTATCAGTCATAATGACAGTAGTATGATTCATTTGCAGCTGTTATATTTATTCCAAGTACAGGGGGTTTTCGTCTTCTCATGGCCGTCGCTATCCAAATGACCGTCACAGTCTCCTAAACTTGTAAAGCACTTCATTTATCTGTATTAATTGTTGCTCTGGTTGTCAAATGTTTAATCAGCCTTGTGGATTCTGTAAAATCTCTGTTTTCACTATGAAGACTCTTCAGATCTCAGTACAAAATCTGAATGGCTTTCTCTAGTTAACATTTTTGTAGTGAGGTTCTTTTTTATTTGATCTAGTTGTCAATCTCACTTTCGACTATCCTCTTCTACCCAGACTTGGGGCTCTCAGAATCACTAAAGGGGATATCAGACCGAGGTAAAATAGATCATGTTTAATTTATAAATCATTTCATTTACTAACTAGGATTTTTAATCTTGAAAGAAGAACGCGAAAAGCATATAAAACAGAAACAGTGGAGTATTCATAATTAGTTTTCGTCCTGTGAATATTTATTCATCTCGATTTCACATGACGGCAATATCTAATTAACCAATAAACCATTGAGATTATCTATCAAGAAATGAGATGTCACAGCTTATTTGGGAAAAAACAAAAACAAGATAATGATGAAATAACTTTAAAGATGGTTGTGCGAGCGACTATCTAGGAATGGAACTATTTAGTCTTCTATGTAATTTGTAATATTCTAACGAAAATATGTCACGTATTTGTATGTATTCTGTGGATATAATACAAGAAAAGTAAGTGGTCAAATATTTAGGAAGTTTAGGAAACTTATCTTCGTTTCCTGAAAATAATGAGTGTATTCATCATCTATTGAAATAATATACTGTTACCACCTAGTGGAGGTATGATGTATTATTCTGTAAATCAGATAAACCCCATATCAATGAAGAATATACAAAGAGCTTTATATGAAAGTTTTATAGGAAGTTACTATATTAATAATATGTGATTTTTCGGAGGATTTTACTTAACCAGTAAACTGACTTACTTAGTTGGGCATAAAATATCTAGCGTTGTCCTTAGTGTGGATAGATTTGAGCTGATATCTGTCAACATAATATTCTGAGTCATAGGTCAGTTCTATTAACTGATCACTCCAGTATACTGGTAAGTGTACTGTCCTTACTTTCAGAATGTAATTTACGATTTCGTCTAGTACATTGTGGAATATTACCATAGGTGATCTGCTTCTTTCTTGTACACTTGGAATGCATTTAATTTGACTTCATAGTCGCAAAGATTACCAGCTTACGAGCATCATTATAAAACGTGAGGATTCAATAGTTGGCTTGTGATGATTAGAAGTATTTGAATAATTATACTAACTAGAGATTCCAGAAATAACGCAATTCGAGCCACAAAGAACTAGGTGAGCACAAAAATGTATTGTATTTTGAATTCGAAACCAGACAGACATCATGTACAAAAGAATCATTAGTTCATTCAACCTCGCATCGGCGTCGTATTTTTACATGAAATCCTCTGACGTAACTATATACATATACCAACTGCATTAATGATCTTTCACTGCTGCAATATTCACTATCATCTAACCTTATTTTCAGCAACCTCTTGCATCAAAAGCAGTATTTAGGGCATAAAAACATCGATTGACTTAGTCCTGATAAGTAGAATAATAAAACTATTACTGAAAATCAACAATTTAACATAGTGTTTAGTTCAACATCAATTAAACTAACTCATTAAAGTTTAGAATAATGCATGCAATCCGCATCATGTGAATGGTTGAAGTCTACAATTTACACATATTTGTTAGATAATACAAAAATGAGCCAATGAGAAATCAGTGTATGACAAAATGTTAGAAAGTTTCGGTTTGTGAAATAGTATTTAAACGAACCAAATCAAACGACAAAAGTTGTAGACCTAGTAAGACAAAGATATGCTTCCTACCGTCTTATCGACAGTTCCAAAATGCTTGCTATTTTTCATAGCAGTCATACTATCACAGTATAAAATTGAGAGTAAATCGTCATCATTGGATGTAACAGATCCAGAAACTTGGAAGAAGTTGGCAGTTGAGAGATTTAGTAAATTTGAACAATCATTATATTACTCATCACTCAAACGACCAAAAAATATCATCTTATTTATTGGTGATGGTATGAGCTTGAGCACTGTTACTGGAGCAAGATATTTAAAAGCGGAGAAGATGAATCTTTTAGGTGGTGATGTACAGTTAGAATGGGAAAACTGGCCTGTTGCATCACTTGTCCGTACATTCAACTCAGACAGACTAACAACAGATTCAGGTTCTGCGGCAACTGCTTTTATGTCAGGTAAGTCGTAAGGTGAACAATTTTTTTAATGAGACAACTACTACTTCATTGCCATATTTTAACCATAAATGTCCTGTGAGATAAAAATCGGAACATTCCGTTGATCATAGAACAATGTGTATGTTTCAAGCAAATGAATTTAGATATACTTGAAATGTTTTGTGATTTACTATTCTGCAGATAGTCTCGTTTATCAAATTGATTCTGTAATTCATCTGTACAACATAAGCGGAATCTGGAGAATGGATAAATGTATAATTAGTTCCTTTTACAAGTCAGATTAATTACATTTTATGGGAGATGTTATTCAGATCCATTGGAGGGACTGTAACTAATAGATTGGGAATGACCTCAGAATAAAAAAACGTACAATGGTAGTCACTTGGTCAAACGAATGCTTATGAATGCTTATGCAATATGAACATACATATAACATAGTTAATTGATAATTATCCAATAAAAATATACGTGATGATAGACTATAAATAGATCCTAGCAGTTACCATTCATTTATTCTTTGTTCATGTATAACAAATTCTCCACGTAGGTGTGGTATAGATCGATTTTGATGTTTCTGATCAGTATTTAATTATCCCATATCCACTAATGAAGTTCTCACTCCATTGAGTACTTATACTGATCCGAGTTTTCCATAATTTTATAATCTGGAGAAAGCCGATTACAGTATAGATAAAAACTCATCTCCTCTTCGTGGTTCACCTTATTATGAGCTTCGTTGGAGTTCGTATGGGAGGTTAAGCCATATAGAGCCAATTAGGTAGAAAATTAATTAGTTATCGATTAACAGTAATGATCACATCAAATTGATCGAAATCAGTAACCGAAAACCATTAGCTCACATCTGAGTGATTCAATAATGTTATTCTCCATGTGATAATACAAAAGCTTTGTATTTGATTATGAATTCATGAGCTAAATTAAGGCGAATAACCAGTGGACAGTGATACTTCTTCTACAATGTTTCCCATTTGGTATTTGTCAATAATGAAAAATATGCTAGACTAAAACTTTTGAAATACTGAATACTCTTCGAAGAATCGAATTCTATATTGTACCAAAATATAATATTGAATATAGCCATCACTAACAATAATAGTAATAATAATAAAAGTACATTTCAAACAAAGAACATGTTTTGAAGTGTACATAATAAGACTTCAGAAGGTTAAGTGTCAAATACAGTTTTCATAGTTCACTGATATAAGTCGAAGGAATGTTGATTTAACTTGAGTTGGAAGTGTAAGATGCTAGTCTATGAGCAGATCATTATGCTATCAAAGATGAATGGATTTATTATGATGAGATGTATGCAAAATCGCACACATAGCAATTTAGTTTTCCGTTGTTTTAATTGATGAGATATTTCAGCTACATGTTATACTGATTAAAACATTTTCAGGTGTAAAAGGACCAGATGGCACTGTTGGTATCACGGGAACAGTGAAGTGCTGTGAATGTACTGAGTTAACAGAAGTGGAAAGAGCGAAATCTTCTCTCATGTATGCCTCTAAAGCAGGATTTTCCACTGGAATAGTTACAACTACGAGGGTTACTCATGCAACACCCGCAGCAGCATATGCTAATATGTTACATCGATATTGGGAGTCAGTAGGGTAAGTGCAAATTATATTCGACAATGATTTTACATTTATATATAGTTTTAATGTGATAAAGTACATAAATGACGTGTGCAGGTTTTATCGTAATTAACTCCGTTTACAGTTAGTGTTTTGCGTATTTTGTCTGTGTACGACAAACTAAGAAGCCATAATGTTAGAAAACGGTTTTTCCCAATACACTGTGAATGAAATATGTAAAGTTGGTGAGATTAAGATTTCCTTAGAAAAATGATAGTGTAGTATCTATAGTGGTATCTATATATCATAAAGTTCACTTAAGTTTGTGTCCATAAATGATCTGTTTCATATCACTCGAAAGGAATTATAAGTTTGAAGTGAAATCTCACATTCATCCGGAAGCCATTAAACATTTATACATTAAATTGCTTTATTGTTACTTTATGTCATATTGCTATGATCCTAAATAAAATATTCTTCCCAATGATGACTTTATTATTTGGTCTCCACACAGTCATGAATAGATAGGTTTGAAACCACCGTTCACCTATTACGGTCAATAAAATGATAGTGCCATTATCATCTCTACACAAAAATGTTTGGTTCAAAATAGAGAGTAAGAACTTGGGTTTTATGAATGACTTTATAATAAATCCTCTTCAAAATTGTCAAGGGAATCTATGTTGATTGCTTTATCATCTATGTGATCGGCTGCCTCTACCCACGTGACATGTGGATGAAATAAAACACCATTAATTCATTAATCATCTTTAATAATTGACTTGTTTATCTAACTACATACAGAATTTCAAGATGGATTACGGCATTAATGTGCTACAATTGATTCCATAACATTCGGGATAAATAAACCGGTGATAATCACAATAATATATTCAATATCCACAAATTGCATTAGTGTACGAACACAGTGCAATATGAGCATAAGAAAAGGTGTCGTGAACAAATTGCCAACTTATTCACGAATACATATAAGAGCCTACCCACATTAATTTATCTATTCGGCTAACTGTTTGAATAGAAATTACAACCGGTCTTGGTTTTGACAAAATGTGTAAACTTTTGTAGGTCTAGTTTCATTACTATATCTGGTTTAGCAGCAATCAGGAGCAAACATATGCCTTATCTACTTCTTGAGGTAGCTAACTTCTCATTGTTAAATACCAGTGCTTGATGGTGTGACTCAAAATCAGATCAAATACATTGATCTGTAATTGTGGTATATGCTGCTTATATCGACAGTCATACACAGTTACTTATAGTAGCCGTTGTAGTGAAATGGATGTGGTGTTCATTAGAATTTTGACACAAAACAGTTTATAGTCGTTCGATTAACTTTCACACTGATATCTTCTGACTACCTACACTGAAGCTCCATCTTCGTATTTTCACTGTTGCCACAAGTGACTGACTTCATCATCGTCATCATCATCACTGTCGCTTATTTCTCCTCTCATTCAGACCATCAAACAAGCGTGGATTCCACTGCGTAGACGCTGCTGCACAACTATTAACAAACGCTTCTCACGTCAACGTCATAATGGGAGGAGGGGCAGCCGAATTCTATGGTCCGTCAGACAATACCACTTTCAACATGAAAGGTAAACGCTCTGATTCACGCAACCTCCTACAAGAATGGAAAGATATACAGACCGAAATGAATCGCAAGCATGTTCTCTTACATACAAACGATGAGTTTAAACGAACCGACTGGTCTTCTGTTGACTACGTTTTGGGTAGGTTCTATGATTCGTGAGTTCGACTACATAGTGTTATTGTGAATCAGTAACTAGTAAACAACTCTCTGTTTTTGTTTATGTTTAAAATGAGGCTGCCTGAAGCGTTATCGATTGCACGTGCTGTATGTTGATTGGACCAATTTGTGTTGAGTTACTGACACTATCATTCATTTTATGGCATTTCATTCAGATATAATATTACACATTGATTTTCAGGTTTGTTTGCTCCGAGTCATTTGGCTTATCAACTGGAAAACGAAGACCAACCAAGTTTAGCAGAAATGACAGAAGCTGCTATCAAAGTACTTTCTCGTAATCCTAAAGGATTTCTTTTGTTAGTGGAAGGAGGTAGAATTGATCATGCTCATCATGTTAATCAGGCCCAGTAAGAGATTCTTTATTATTATTATTATATTGACACTACTAAAATTACTATTTTTGTAACATTGTTATTTGTCTTTGAGATGAAACATGTAAGTGTTTAATGGTTACATGTTCTTATAAAAAATTCGGTTATTGATTGATTGATCACGGGAATCACGAAAATCGAGCCCAGTAATAATAATTGCAACTATTTCCACTATTAAAATTAATGATTCAATCATAAGGTTATTGGTCTTTGGTAGGGAAGTAAACTGATGTCGAATATTCCTTAATGTTTAACTTAAAGTTCGAGGCGGAATGTTGTTTATTAAAGTTTCCGACACATATAGTTTTCTTTTTAAGTGTATTGATGATAAGATTAATTTTTCGAATTCATACTGATTACAGATATGCATTAACTGAAACTTTGGAGCTCGAAAAAGCTGTCGAGAAAGCATTGTCACTTGTTGATCAACAAGAAACACTACTGCTAGTAACAGCTGACCATTCTCATTCATATGGAGTGGTCGGCTATCCAACAAGAGACACAAGTGTGCTAGATGTGGATAATACTGCAAAAGTAAGTGTTAACTCTGTTTCATTTTTAATCATTTGAGTAAACAGGAAGGAGTTTCTTACAAATAGCTGAGGTACGTAGTAGACAATAAATGGGACCTACCAGTGTCAAGCTTCAACAATCCGAAATCGAATGAGAATAGTAACTCGAATTTATGCTTGGTAATATGTTTCAAGTCTCAAAGCAATTAGCAACTGAATCCACAGTTTCAGAGTTCCCATATCTGACTCCTGAAAGTATATGTTATTGTCACATAAATAGAGATTCAACACAGGACATTCAACGTAATCTGGAGAAACACAAGCAGACACACAATCAGTCTCAATTTAGTTAAGATACTGGAGAATAATATCGAAATTGCATGATCCGTTTGAAAGGTTTATCAACAGTAAGATTGAAGATAAAAGCTCGTGTATAACACCGGAACAATTTCCAAGGCAAAGAATACTTACAATGATTGAGTGGAAACACGATTCCCGTTTGGTCGAGATGTTTGTGGAGACTTACTCAGATTGAAGTGGATTTTTGTCACGAATTGATATCAACCGGGAGGACCTGGAAACAGTGGGTTAGTGAACAACTTCTTTCATCTAATAGGGAGTGCTTTAACAACATGTCTCCAAGAAGATTAAACTTATCGGATACTGAGTCAATGGTCTGACAGTAATGTGCTGACCTGAAGACATGACCACTGTATATCTAATATCTAGTGTGCTCCACAAGGAACATTGTTGAGGAGTCTAAACTACAATAAGTCAAGTACTGCGTGATCATCGGAAGTTCTTCAGTTGATGTATATTCGTCATGAAATCCAGTTTCAAAAAGGATTTAATGAGTATCGAAATGTTGTTAACTGAATATGAATTAGTCAGATATTCAGGAGGCAAACAAAAGATTGACTACTTCCTTATCGCTAACATATTTTATCAACGAATTCGACAACACATTCTCGCCATTTAACAATTGAAACATAATAACATGAGTTTGTTACATTACAGCGATCTCACCTTCACTTGAGCTTGTATGCGTTTATGTTTATTATGCCCTCTGAATAACTTACTTAATAGGTAGTGTCACTTGTGTCGCTAACTATTTGCCTATATCTTTACCTTATCATTTACAGGCTTGTGTGAGTATGTGTGACTAATCATCAGTTACAACCAACATATATACACATCTTAGTAGGTTAAATGTTAAGTAAAATAACCCTTAGTGTCATTGAATACGAAAACAAGAATTCAGAGAATAAAATTTTCTTTTCGACGAAATCATTTACTTAAGCTGTATATTCGTATATAGAGGTATATGGAAAATGTATGTCTATAGGAGGATAGAAAAAAATTGCATCACAAAAATGTATTCGAGGATAAATAGCAAAGGAGGTTACGTACTAATCAAGGGGTAATCAAGGTGGATAACCGTTTCTGATTAGAGTTTGTCGAAGTTGAATTACTTCCTCATCTATCGTGTCAGTGGAACAGATTCACCTGATCCTAGAGGATAAAGAGTGAATTAATTTCCTCTTTCTACTCAATGGGACCCAACTATGGAAATTAGTGTACTGCCCATTCCAGTTAGGTTTTCTGCAAATAGATCGCTTTAAAAAACCATCAGGCATTTTTTTTAACCGGACATCAAGAAAATGAAACTCATTATTTTCCTCTGCTTCTAAGGTGAATTGAATTGAGGGGTGACAGTTATTGAAACTTTTCAAAACTTCATTCAGGTCCATGTCTTCTTCACAAATAATGAAAGTATCATCCATACATCTCTTATATAAATGAAATCTCTCAATTATTGGACGAAGTACAGAATTCCTTAGATTGGCCATTAAGCAATCAGCCAAGAGAGGGCCCAATGAAGAACCCATTCCAACTCCATTTGTTTGTCTATAGAAATCATCATTAAATCTAAACTGCACGTTGAGCGCACATCGTAGAAGTAATTCTTTTAGATAATGTTTAGGGATACACATATCAAGGTTGTTGTTTTCAATATAGTCACATAAAAAACATATAGTTTCTGTGAGAGAAACATTTGTAAAAAGCGAAGTGACATCTAATGAGATCATTTTCTTACCAATTACATTGATATTTTTAATTGATTCGACAAAGTCAAAGGAATCAAGAGAGTTATATTTATGAATATGATTTTTAACAGGTTGTAAAATGTCAACTAACCGTATAGCAATCAAGTGATATGGAGAGTTGTTCATATCAAGTATGGGAGGGAAAATATTCTTATGAACTTTTGGCAGTCCATATAGTCTTGGTACAACGGAACCAGAAGGTTTAAGATATTCAAAGAGGTCACAATTGATGATAGACTCACCTTTCATCTTCCATAGTATTTTAACCAGCAACAATTCCGTTTTTCCAGTCGTGTCTTTTTGAATGGTTTCTTTAGAGAATTTGACAGGATCGGATAATATCGAAGATAGTCAAGACTATTCATAACGATACTTCCTGCGCCCTTGTCTGGGCGACATAACACTAAGTCCTGATTTCTCCGAAGATCATTTAGTTGGGATTTATGTTCTTTTGTGAGTAATCGACTAATTGTAGGCGTTTTACTTACATATTGATTACAGCAGTCTACAAGAGTTGTTTTGAAATGCTCATAATCTTTATTAGATACTGGAATAAGGTCATTAGTCTGACGAACGAGGCTTTCAAACTGGATTTTAGTGTTGAGTTCATTAATGTTAGTTGACGTACTACAAAATTTAGGACCAAGAGATCATGCTTGTAGCTGATTAGTCGATAATTTTATACTTAAGTAACTGCAAACATATTTCTCTGGAGATTCAAGAAAAGAAGCTTGAGTCTCCGTCTGTTTCAAAGTTTTCATTAATTTCAAGATCACGTCTTCTGTACGACTTTTGCTAACAATACCCCTTGATTAGTATGTAACCTCCTTTGCTATTTATCCTCGAATACATTTTTGTGATGCAATTTTTTTCCATCCTCCTATAGACATACATTTTCCATATAACTATATATACGAATATATAGCTTAAGTAAATGATTTCGTCGAAAAGAAAATTTTCTTCTCTGAATTCTCTTTTTTTATTAAATGTTAATTACTTAGAGCGCGAGATGATGTACTTGCATGCTTATATATCTGAGTATCATAATCTCTAATCGTTTAAAGATCCCCATCATATTAAAAGACTAATATTTGTACGTAGAATATTCTTTCCTATAAATTCTCTTCAGGTTCTACAATTCATATGTCCAAATTAATAATCCGAGAAATGGCCAGGTTTAGGGCAAAGTACATCGTTTAAAGTATGTGAATTTATGCTTGTCAAACAAGACAGAATAAAATTGTTAATGTTGATATGACTCAGATAGAATGTTAATTTGGATCTGCGTATATGTGAAATTTAAGATCCATGATCAGCATAGATATAGGTCAGATAGGGTGACAGAACTAATCGAGCAATTACAAATCGGTCAAATGTTTCATGAAAAATTAGTTAGACGTAATAAGGAGGTATAAATGCGAAGTGAATGAATCATGTATAGGGGAGATTAATAATGATGTTTAACCAATAATAATAATAATAGTAATAATAATAATGATAATAATAATAATAATAATGCAAAGATAACAGAGGCAAATACAATTGACTACGAAAGGCTGTAGTCAAATTAGGTCGTCGAATAGCTAAGATTACAATTGGTTAATTGACCTTGATGTTGGCCTAGGAAAGGACGAGTAGCTGAAGACATTTCTTATATACGCATAGCTTCAGGTTCTTCATCCGGATTTGTATTTTGTTTAACAATCCTAAATTCACAAACTTTAAACGATGTACTTTGCCCTAAACCTGACCATTTTTCGGATTATTAATTTGGATATATAATTGTAGAACCTGTAGAGGATTTATCGAAAAGTATAATTTGTAATCCCTGATGTGTATTTGGAATTCTTCTTCTTTGCACGATTATTAATATTATTATTATTGTAATCAATAATAATAATAATGTTGTTCGAATTCACCCTTGTTCGTATCGGCATCGTGTACTTGATGAAATTTAATTAAATTTTGATGAGAGTTAATGTTGGACACAGAAAGGGATACGCTATGCATAATGACATGATAAATTTGTCTCGGAGTGCTCGATTTCGAAATCATTAATTTGTAACTGAAATGACCTCATTGAATGTATCCAACGGAAAATTGACGTAAATGCGTGTTTTCACAAATAACTGTTTATCAACTAAATGTCATTAATATGATGATAATTCACCAATTATGGTGTTGACTATAATTTATACTGTATGTTTACGTGCGAAATGTAAGTTCTGGTCAGCAGGTGAGAGGTCACAATCACCTTGACTTTCACTTGTCTTTGTAAATGGGTTTATATCCGAAAAGCGTAAAGTAGATTTTCTGATGTATCAAAGAAATGAATGGTATTTTCCCTGTATCACACAGTAACGTTTCTTCGAAATATTTAATATAGTCACTGAATATCTACTCTTCTTTACATTGGGAAATCAAAATGTTGAAAGATTTTGAGGAAAATTATAGTCATTTAGAACAACCTAGTTATTTTCAAAATATCCCAACTTACACGTCTCTGTCATCAATAATATTATTACGGATTGAAATAGTGTGTGATATATAATTAAAGTGGACCATATAAGAAACATTGATACACTCAGTCGAATGCCATTATCTAATATTGCTTTGTTTTGTGTTACAGGGAAATGATAATAAATCATATCTCATATCTTCCTATTTCAATGGACCAAGAGGTATATTGAATGCACCTCGATCGGATCCGGCAACAGAAGATAGATTTGCAAGCAACTATACTGCAGAATCATTAGTGAGACTCAGTTTTTCTACACACAGTGCTGAGGATGTACCGATTTATGCTAATGGACCTTACAGTGAACTATTTCATTCTTCATTGGATAACACATTTATTGCACATGCAACCATGTACTCGCTGTGTATCGGACCATACACGAATCAGTCACATTGTAACAAAGGAAACAATGGATCTCAACTCAGAGGACTTCATCTGAATAACTTTTGTTATTTACTATTTCTCAGTGTTATTTTGTACACTTTCATACATTAGTGCATATTTTGTGATATTTCCTTCAAATTATTAATTTCATGTGTTTCATGTATGCATATTTGTTGTTTGTAATATTTATCAGTTTAGATTAGATAAGGATTCATCAAATGATTTATGGATATACAAACATGTAATTTGTGAAAGAGTTTGTCATTCATATGCAGTTCATATTCTGTTTACCTGTTTTGATATTCATATTTATATAAGAATCTGTCAAAGCGAAAATCGAAATTGTTATCATCACTTAAATTACAGTGTCAGACCTGCAGTACCAATACAGGCATTCATTGTCGTATCGTTGATATACTAGAATTTCGACTCGTTCCCACACTTTCTAAAACAGTTCGTTAAACAATCACTAAACACCAATTTCTTGAATTACTTCGGGACTTGAATAACGTCAAAATTATCTGTAGTCATGTATTTGTTAAAGATTATTTTATCAATGGAGTGGTGAGTAAAATGTTGGATCATAGTGGTTGATAATCGAGAAAGAAGCCAACTACTCTATTTCCCGTCGCAAGTATTCTGGGTACTGCATCGCATTTCAACTAGATAGCTACCAAGAAGCCTAATTTATGGACTGACTTGAACAACTTTGTAAATTGCCAATAAACTTCAAGGTTTAATCGGACTTACACAGATGGCACTTATACACAATAAAGTATAGTTACAATCAGTGGAACACTCATTACCGAACTTTATCCATGGATAGTTGACGCAATACTCCTTATCATTATAATGCAGAAAATTTATTGGATTATCGAAATATTAGTTCTTGTATGATGTTATGAAATCGCAATGTTTCTTGATCCTAGCAAAACTTAAGCTATTCCTTTCTAGGTTAGTGTTCACTCACTTACTTTTGTAATTTCTGATTAATTGGTCAGAAGTGAAAACGAGAACAGATACTTCTAACATACTGGATGGGCTAATGACTAATACATTTGAAAACACAACAGTGAGGATTCCTCATGAACAAAAGCAGAGACGATTGCATATTACAAGATGGATGATATATCTCAATACAACGCAAATAAGAAACTAAATGTCAAGATACAAATATAGTGTTTCACAAGATGAGGAATAATCACAAATAAGTGGCGTGTAACAAACGCTTCCTTGTCTCGTGCTCATATGACATAAAACAAGGCCAAATTGTTGGTACTGGAATGTGTAAAGAAATTGATTATCATTCAAAAACAATATGATTTATTTTGATTATGTACAAATAAGCTTAAACAGTACTGTTAATAATAAATTCTTCTTCATGCAACTGCGCGACACTGGTTTTGGAGTTTTTCTCCAGAATTTTCACTGACTTTGTGGAAATCACCAACATACCTTTTGATCTGTTTCTTTGCTTCTGTGTATTTGGTCTGCGTGTTGACTTGCTCTGTTCTTGTCGTGTATATTGCTCTTCATCAATATTCGAATAAATCCCCATTAACGGTCGCCTATGTGTTGTTCAGCTAAACGGCTTTGTAAGAACTCGGAAGGATAGGGACACATGTCGTTGCCTTTTCGTCGTGTCTGCCTACGCTCGCACGGACTGCACCCGGATGAAGTGAAAGATGATCTTTACTGTAAGCTCTCTGAACTTCTTCATAAAGCATCCCTCTCAGACACAGCACTCGTAGCAGGTGACTTTAATGCCAAGGTAGGTAGCTTAAACCGAACAGAAAGGCATTGAGGCGGGTATTTCGTTGTTTCGGCTCAGGTGACAGTTAATGGTGACCGTCTGCTGTAACTGTGCTCAGAAAATTGTTTATTTTTAACAATCGTTAAATTTAAGCATAAGGAGAAACATCGTCTAACATGGCGACCGCCTGAAACAAACCAACGATGGACTCAAACAGACCATATTGCCGCCATTCTTCGTTGAAGAGGCGCGATGGAAGACTTTCGCTCATCCTGGAATACCTGTTTGGACTACGATCATGCGCTTGCTTGCGCCTCACTGGACTTCGGAAAACCACATTAAGTAGACCCATTAGAGTCGAACTCAGTGACAAGTAGTCCTAAAGTGGATTCCAGGAACAACTTAGGTAGTTGTGAAAGCGAGGCTGACCCAGATGTTGCTTGGGAAGATATACGAACAGGTGTGGAAACGGAAGTGACATCTAGTACTGATTTGAAACAAAGGGTTACGAAGAACAAATGGATTTCTACTAGGTCTCTTGCATTGATCGATTCTCGTAAACTCATCTCATCAGGCTCTGAGCATGATGAAGAGTGAAAACAAATCAGATCTAAGTTAACAAAGAGTCTACGGAACGACAGTGAGTAGTGGTGGATAACGAAAGCAAAAGACATAGTAAAGGCAGCGGCTGTAGGTAACACCAGACACATTTTTAGACTAATAAAACCAACTGGGATTAAGAAGTGATGTATGAGACGATCTCAGAAAAAGACAACACTCTTATCTGTTCTCAGCGCAGACGTTTGTAACGATGGGCGGAACACTTTAAGGAGCAGTTCAGTTGACCTTCAGTTACTCTACAACGACCCTACCAAATATGCTGTCCTGGTTGGTGAAGAAACTGAGAAACATTTCTAGGAGATTAGGGATGTGTTATTCCCATATCCAAACGAAAATTGTTGCTTGAGAACTGGCGTTTGTCAAAACCTGGACTAAGGATAAGGAGTGTAGTCGAACGCGTCGACAGAGTCAGGAGATGCAGTCTCATGACAGCCGGTGACCAAAGATTGGTTCATACGCAATTTTTCCCTTCAGGATACCGCAATTTAAAAAAGGAGTACACACTCGTTAACTGGTGTGGATTGTTGATCGAGTGTTTTCAACCAGGTATGTCGAATAAAATTATGAAGTCAGGATCTATGTTGAAACCTCACAGAACTGTTTATTTAGGTAATTCGTTCGCCATTACAGATATGAGACATGTTCATCATTTTGCTTCAACAAATGTTAAAGGAAACTGATTTGTCGGTATATTGACCAGACCATATGTGATTCAAAAGCTGCACAGTCTATATACCTTTTACTAACTAACAAATTACAGCCTATGCTTTTGTCATATATTTAATTTCCTCAAACTTTGGGGGAAACCCAAAGGAGAACACAGGATGATTGGCGTGGAAATAAAAGAACAGTGAGGTCTGAGACGATTGACTGATATTTGCAAAAGGAACAGTCAAGTTTGAGACAATTGATTGACATTTTGCACATAGAGTGTTTACTGTATGGTCCCCTGACTTTACTAAGATGTTCTGTCCGACTGTCCCCACTTGTGTTCTCATTCACTACGATATTATCAAATTTGTGTCATTAAACGGCAAGGTTAGTAAAGATCTAGTCACTGTTGTGAACAGTGACAGAACAGAAGGGGTGAGTGAGGTAGTTGAACGCGTCGACAATTTCACTTGGGCCGGCGTCTGACGAAATCTGCACGGATTCAGAAAGCTCGTTTGGCTTTTGCCAACTTACGTCACTTATGGAGAAGGCGACATATCCGTCTATCAATTAAAAGACGAGTATACTTCTCAGCAGTTCGTTCTGTTCTACGGCTGCCAAACATGGCCACCAAGAGTAGAAGATACTCGTAAGCCATTAGTATTTGATCACAGATGTCTTAGAAATATTGCTCGCACCTGCTGGGATCACTAGATAAGTAATAGTGATGTTAGACACAGGGTATTGGGGAGTGAAGGTAAAGCAGTTGATGAGATTGTGGAACTTCATCGACTGAGATGGTTGGTTACGTATGCCTGAACACCAATTATCACTACGCGCGATGCTGACTAGTGTTGGAGACGGTTGGAAGGAAGTTGGGGACGGCCAAACCAAAACGTGGTATCAGTCCTTGTAGTCGCTAACTTCTAGTGTCAGCCATGTTGGTAGATGCAGACTACTTGGTTGGGGTCCGTGTGATTATTGTAACCAATGGTTTGAGACTGTGTGACATGGCCCAAAATCGATCACAATGGCATCAATGTATACACTCTTTGTCATCCATTAAACCGTGAGGCTAAAATTACCTTATGCCTTTCTAATTCTTCCTTCCTGTATTATATCCTTATACACAATCTTTCTTTAATACATTACTACCATTGATGTTACTATTATGAATTTGATTTCCATCTTGTTGTGCCAATGAGGTATGGCAACTTGGACCGATGCATATATATGCCTGGTCCTACGTTATAGCTGACGTTAGAATCCGTGGTAATGACTCATAGTTCTACGCCACTGTCGACGAGTTGATGAACGTTTGTTATTAGAACAACACATGTAAGCGAACAACTGTTTTCAATTAGATCGTGATCAGGCTTTACTCTAATATACATGAATGTTTATACGAAAATGTTAAACCAATCAATGCAATTTGAGTCAATAATCACGATGAAATAGAGTACATCACCGCACCTAATAGGCAAAAGTACAAATTGATGGTAGGAAGACAGGTGTACTGATAGTAGTAAGAATAATAAAGTACCATAACAAAAGTCTTATCAATAGTTAAACGTTGGAAATAGAAGGTCAAACGTGGGTAAATGGACTTGGAATAGTCAACACAAAACATTAATACTATTATGTAATAAGAAGTGTGTAAATAATTAGATAGTGAAGAATACAAACGGGAAGAGGCGGAAAATTACAAACAAATACAGAATATAAAAATAATGCTAATGGTAACAAAAATAAAATAATAATAGGTTGTTTGTTAAGTTATATCATGTCATTGAAGGGATAGGGTGGGTCACGAATTTCTTCTGTACACATAAATTGTGGTTGAATATACGAATTCCTACAGCCTCAGCTATATGTAGGAGACGGGATAGAACTCCACTGGAAAGTGATGGAGGTATACGATAGATCACTCGAAATGACTCCGATTTATCTACATTATGACCGCTATCAATTAGATATGCCAAGATAGAACTGTGTGTTGTTTTTATCCAGCCCTTCACAAACCATGATGGTGGATGTTCACTCATTTGTTGGTTAATTTGCCTGGTAGTACGCCCGATATAGCTAT